TGTGTGCTTGTAACTAGGCAACCAGGGGACCGGCGGCTGTATAAAGTCCTTTTCGAGGGCCAATCGTGCTATAAACCTACCTTTAGACTGGGTGTGTAGACATTCAAGTACAGGCAATCTTCAGATGTAACGGGGTAGAACAAAGGTTGAGGAACTTGTTGACAGGCTGGTGAAAACTCCGTGGCATTCCGATCACCTTCCCAAGGCGTCATGGGCTCTGGAGGAGCGAACCGCGTCGGCGGACTAGCGAATGGAACGCCCTGTATCAATATGACAGCATTACAGATGTGGGTGTATATTGACAAACACGCAGATTCAATCTTGATTTAGAGTAATACATACTCTGGTTTAATCATGTTACATAACGTTTGTTGTGAGATTGTTTTGGACACTCACTTTAAATTTAGATAGTCATTCTTCAATTTTGCATATTTTGTTAATGTGCAATTCAACCTTAAAATCAACTTCATCTGATTAATTGATTAGAAATCGAAATAATAACTGTTGTGTTAATATTAGAAGTAGAAATTGCTGAATTTACAGGTATTTCGAATTGGCGAACTGGTAATACAACATTAGCGATTACTGACTACGTAAACTGAAATGTGAAGAGAGAAGGGAACTTATTGAACTCGCAAAGGCGCCATGGTTAAGCACAGATTTCGAGAAGGCGAGTTGATAAAACTCGCCAAGGCGCCTTGTTTTCGAACGAGAAGGCGGCTTGGAGAGTTTTAACAGGTCACCATTTCGCCTTCCCGACCTAAACAAGTTCTGGTAAAAAAAAAAAAAAATATTTCTCACAGAATCAAACTGAATGTTCAAGATTACAAATAAATGACATGTGCCGAACAATTTTGGAAGAAAATGTATACTGGCTGAGTAATGAGCATAGAAAGACAAGGACGTCAAGGTAGTACAAGCCCCGACACCATGTGTGTTGTCCTATATGTAGCTTTCTGTGTACAGTGCTTGTTACTTTACCAAGATTCGGCCAAATTTATTATAATTTTGATTACTCCAAAACCTTGCAGTGCACACCAATACTTACATGCTACATGATAAACTGTTTCTGATCCATTCCACACCTTTCTTTCACAATGCAATCGCATTACCAGAACTGGAGTTTATCTTTAAGAAGTCTTCTTCTTGCCTTCTTGACCTAAACAAGGCGGCTTGGCGAGTTTAAGAAATCTCCTTCTTACCTTCTTGACTTAAACAAGGCGGCTTGGCGAGTTTAAGAATTAGTCTTCTTCTTGCCTTCTTGACCTAAACAAGGCGGCTTGGTGAGTTTAAGAAATCTCCTTCTTGCCTTCTTGACCTAAACAAGGCGGCTTGGCGAGCCTTTAACAAGTCGCCTTCTTACATTCTCGACTTAAACAAGGGGCCTTCTAGCCTTCTTGCTTTCTCATCTTAACTATGGCCCATATCCGAGTAAACAAGTCTCCTTCTTGATGCACGTTTTAGCCTCTGTAGTTAGTATACTTCAATGTTCACCTATTTGAGATACCTGTAACTTCAGCAATTTCTAAGTTGATAGGAGCCTTAGAACTTAGACGTTAATGCTGCATTCGATTTTAAATGTACTGGCTAAGCAATCGATCATTCTTGATCTGTAGTTTGATATAACAAATAATAGCCGAATATATATCGAGCACATAGTATATACGAGGGCAAATCAAAAGTATTTGGTCATTTTGGTGTCCCATATACGTGACCACAGGGGGGTACGCAGGATTTTTTTCGAGGGGATGATTTTAAAATTTGAGCACATTTTTGTTTTATCCCGAAAATTTGGTCGACCGACATTTCGTTCAATTGAGGGGGATTCGACCCCCCCCCCCCCCCTGCGTGACCAAGTATCATTGGGTTCCGAATATAAAGTGACATCAAATCTCTCATTTTAGTTCATATTTGGCGTGATCCGTTAATACCCTTTCACCTACCCCCTTCAAAAATCTGCTAACGATTGTCCACGGATTGCTTTTTTTCAGTAAAAAGCTCGTAAATAGCTCGTAACAATCCGTAAGTATCGTAAAACGCTCGCAACAACACGTAACCATCCGCAAATTATCGCAAGAATCCGTCAATTACTCTTAACAAAAAAACGGTTAGCTTACGTATTGTTTACGAATTATTTACGGATTATTACGAGTGCTTACGTGTTTTTTACGATTTCATTCGGGCCATGTTACGATGGCTTTACGGATTGTTACACGTTATTACGAGCACTTTACGAATATATACGTATTCTTTACGTATTCTTACGTATTCCCAACGATTTGTGGAAAGCCAGCTGCAAATTCGAACATTTCTTTTTCTGTTGTTATTTTTTGGCTAAAAATCGGAAGGACTCAAAACTAACTCGTAACTATTCGTAACAGCACGTAAACATGTCGTAACTAACACGTTAGTTGCTCGTAGTTGTCCTTGACAACTCGTAACAAATCGTGGAGTTCTGCCGTAAATACATCGTAATAACTCGTAATTATAATCCCTAATAAACCGTAAAAAGCTCGTAATGACTTGTAACAACTCTTTAAAATCGATCGTAAAAGTGGTCAAATCATAAGGATCCGTGAAATATCCTTGAATTTGTGCGATCCGTAAGGACTCGTAAGAAAACTCCGTGGCCTATGTGAAGGGGATAAGCTAATACCATTATGTTATATATACTGAATAGTATAGATGTGCTTGGTAACGTATGATACAAAATACCTTGGACTTGCCCAAGACCATTACCCTCCATTAACTACACTCGGGTGGAGTGTGGAAAATAAAGCTTAATGTCTTACTCTAAAAGCATAGTAGTGCCGGTATCATACATTTCTTCAATTCATATTCTTTCTAACATATTGTATATTTAAAAAGTAAACGTTAATAATGAAATTCTCATGTATGTTTTTAGTGATTACAAATATCGGACTACCGTTTAACATGTTCAATAAGGATTTGGTCCTCAATATTTTCGTTGACCCCGATCTCATGAATTGTGGTATTAACGAGTTAAGTTATAATTTGTAACTACACATCTTTTTGATGACTTACCAGAAACATATCGACATTTTTAGTCACGTTTATAAACTGGTTCTCACTAAACTGGACGGTCTTTCCCACGAGATTTCCTTCAGTGACAGTCACGCGAGGGTTTTGACCAGATATAACAACGATCGTAGAGACGAAAATTGCCAAGAAGATAGAAAGCAGCTTCATCTTTCTTGAAACAAAAGTCGAACGCTTCCTAAAGATATTTTCAGTGCCTTCGGTGTGAATAACATTCGATGGGTATGTTTTCAAGTCCCAGTGTTTTAATCGAGCATCCTTATGTCACTTTACTGGTTAATGGTGGCTATTCATTGAAAAAAGACAAACATTTGGATCCGTATTCTACCCAAGGTTGAAACCAATGCTGGGTTAAAGTTCGGTCTGATGACGAGTTTAACAACTACTGAAATAAGTCTAAACCTTAAACAATTGTCCATGTTATAGAATGCGCCGTCATGCAGAGTGCTCATGTTTAAGAACAGCGACGAATGTTTTTCTTCAGCTGATATTTGATCAGGGTTTGCTTGCTTTGCCAATTATGTAATCACTGGTGTTTGTTGTTTGCCGAGTTGCCCAAGTGTTTTGTTTGCAATCCCCAGTCGGCCATACTTATTGTGTATTTTTCTGTTTTTATTTTAGTTTTTGTCCCCTCCCCCCCCCCCCATTCCCTCACCCTCCCTCTTTCTCTCTCTCTCTCTTTCTTTTTTTTTCTCTCTCTCTCTCTCTCTCTCTCTCTCTTCTTTGTATCGTTATATATTCCCTTGCTCTTCCCCTTTGCCCCCATCTCTCTCTCTCTCTCTCTCTAACAAAACAATACCTTAAAAATAAATATATCTATAGATGTGTCCCTGATATCAGTAAAAATCAATAAAGATCGTAGCATGTTTACTTTAAAAAAAGATAAAATGTTTGTCAGTAATTGCTCAACAAGAGATATTTCATTATATATTGAGCATGCGTTTCTTGATAATTTTTCTCCTAATATCCGCGGTATCTCGAAGTGGAAGGGCCATTCCTTACACACTAGCTTGACTTGATTAACCGCCCATTCTAAAATACACCATTTAGGTAGCGTCGTCTTGGAGGCCTCAGTTTGAATAGAATGTTCACTTAGTCGATGAAGTATCATGATTGATTTGTGCAAAGGAGTCAAAAAATTATCATTAAGAGTGACATAGATAAGTCAACTATCTCAAGGTAATAAATAACCATTTAAAATGATACATATTGCACTGACTTTTAAAAAATATGAAAACATTATAGATTTGCTCATTATATTTGGAACAATAAGGGCTGACGATAAGATCTTAAAAGTTCATTGACGATAACCGATACAGATGAATATGTAAAGAGCGAACAAAATGCAAATTGTAACTCTGCAGAATTTATTTCACGTCTGGTTGAAAAAAGATACATTATACTCAAACAGCTATTTTTCATCGGCATGATTTCTGAGTATGTTAATCACCATCGTAACGCTGGGAAATCATGTCTATCTACTGCCTCGGCGCTTGAAGTCACTTTGCGATTGTTAATTCCTTGACAATTTCATTTAGAAAAAATATAAAGGTATGTAAATATTTGTAATTTTTGAAATGCATCACTTTACATTAGCAATATTTTTTCAATATATGAGTAATTATTATGAATCATTATTGATTACACAAGATAAAAACTCGCACTTGAGAATAATAATAATAATAGTAATAATAATAATAATAATAATAATAATAATAATAATAATAATAATAATAATAATAATAATAATTATAATAATAATGATAATAATAATGATAATAATAATAATAGTTAATAATAATAATAATACATTATATTTATAATGCGCTTAAATACCAATGTTTCTAAATTTATTAAAGAATAATACAAAATCGAATCCAACAAAATATTTATTATCATCGATGTCTGCATAATTTGCGATAAAATATTATGATTCCTGCTTTTTTAAAGTTAGCCATTTATACTGATCCGATATCCATAACTTCTTATGTGAATTTAAACTATGTATTTAGCATTTCCACGCTGAACACACTAGAATCACTAAAACAGCGGGTATACGAAAACAATATTTACGGCATCAAATGGATTTATAGAATATCAACGCATGTTCGTGATTATGTTTGTTTATTTTTTTTAACAGTTTTAAACTGTTTATGATGTATCAATATCCTTCATCGGGACGTAAATATGTGATTAAAAGAAATATTCTACACCGAAATATTAACAGATTGTATATTTTTGAATTGTAAAGGAGCAGACAGCTTTGGTGAATGCTATTATATATCTACAAATCTAGTTGCATGTAGGTAGCTGCTGGTAGTCTTCAAAGGCCTTCTGCCAGTCGGTCATTTCATCCTTCCAGTCGTCGTAGCTTTCTCGCCATTCTTGTTCATCTTCGTCAATCGTTTCTAAAGATATAGAACAAGGACAAATTTTAAGTAATAATAGCATATGATATATATATATATATCTACTTATCAAGATATGTGGAATGTCACAGCAGCGTTTAATCTTTAGTATGTAATTCGTGTTAGCAGACCACTCAATAAAAACCAATGTTAATATTTAGAATATTAAATGCAGGGCAGAAAGCAATTCAATAATTGCTGCCAAGGTGACAGGTGTTTCACAGTTCTTCTTCGGTATATTTGTTAGTACTTACAGAGTTTTGTTTCTCTCTTCTCATTCCATTTACTGTAAATATCCTCAAACAGACTGACACTAGCTGGCTACAGGCATTCCTAATGTTGAGCAGAGACCTATAGGTAGTGCCATCGACTAATAAAACCATGAACGAATTTTGAAATGTTGGGGTGAGAGGAGCACTGACATAAATGGCGATTTATAAATTGTCAGCAGCAAAGTGTCGGAATATATTTCATGATGCCCAATCAATTCAAGCCTTCTTACTTGCAAATGCCTCCAGGTCGGGTATGTATTCGTTCCAGAAACGGCACTGCCTTGCCAGCACAGCTCTGCCTTCACCCAAGTCTAGGGACAGTTCCTTGTGTTTGAGCTCAGGGATCGTGTACAAAGGCCAAGAATCCTCTCCTACTCCTGCTTCTCCATCAACACTAGACTTGCTTGGATCACTAAGGATAAACAAAAGGAAATACAATACCAGGCCTTCTTTTCCTGACTATTATAAAAATTCAATTCCACAAATAATGGCTATATTATCTTTATTATAACTATAACTGATTGGGGATGTGTCGTTGGACCACTAAACCAGAGTTTCCCTTACTCTCATACCAACAATGCAGTGGGTTCTTGGTACGCTGAACGTACACACTTGGTTACCCTCCTCTACATAATTATGTATATGAGGCCTCCATTTAACGTCCTGTCCAAAGAACGGGCGTTTTTCACTAATTGCCAGATTGCGTCTATGAGTCAAGGGATGGTCACCTTAACACATAACGCAAACCCCATGTATCTGTCGGAGTTGGATTCGAATCCACGATCTTGGTTCGACAGGCAAACGCTTTATACCGCCTCCTTCTAACTATACACTTAATATACGTTTTCCTAAAAGATTGAATTCTGGTGCAAGCTAATTAGTCAGGGAGACGATCTTGGAGGTCAAATAGATGTCCTCTGTTAACGAGAGAAGTTTTTGCATCAGTGGACACTCGTGAGCTATAAACCAAGGTGCTTTATTGTGGGCCCAGTTTGCTTCTCCCATTTTTCTGTTCTACATGTATATACATCCAATCCTAGGGCAAAATGGACTTCCTCTTTTAGAATATTTTGAACATACAAGACTTTACGGTGGGTTTACTTTAGCTCCGTTTGGATGGAATGATTATTCTTAACCTACCCTGACTTTGCAAAGTTCGTCCAAAACTGCATGAATTTCACGGATAGGGCGTTCTCCTCATCTGTCAAATCGTGTCCATGAATATGATAAATCTCTTCAATAAACGGATGACCCCAAACAAAAGTCAGATCCTCTGCGTGACCCGCTCCTAGCCAAGGGGTGCTTGGAGACTGATCTCCATTAGCGAAAAAACTCCTGGAGATAAATGCATAAAATAGTAATGAAAAAACTATATTTAAAAAACAAAACAAAGAGGGGTATGCGATCATTAGAGTTATAAAACCAAAGACCCAAATATGCTTACTTTGAATGAATAGGTCTATTTGCTTGATATCGAGGTACCCATGCGATCCTAAAGTCCTAATAGCATATCGATAATAAAGCTTTATATCATCTCTCGACGCTAATTTTGAGTGAGCAAAAGTAGTCAAGGGAATAATGAGAACAAAATAAAGGTAATATAACTGCAGACGATCCTAAACCATGTGAGGGTTGTGATGAGCAGGGACCCGGATGAACTAGTTACATACAGCATGAAAGCCCCGTGTGATCGTGCCAGTCTTCATACATTGATCAGCCGTCGGGTAATAGATAAAATACAGTTCTGGTCAATATGCGATTGTTTTTTAGAAAGAAGCTGTCTAGAAGCAATTAGCAAACGTTCATTCGGTAGCTCATAAAAAAACTTTTGTTTACCATGAGGTTTTGGACTCATCAGAGTTATAAGAAACTGACTCTGTCTTGCTAAATGTCACATGCACTGAATCTACAAATGTGCATATTACACCGCAACGACGGGTGGCATAGGCGCCGGAAGTGGAGGGGGGCAGGGGGCACTTGCCCCCCAAACAAAAAAGTGGGGGGCAAAACGCATTTTTGCCCCCCCCCCCAAAAAAAAAAAAAAAAAAAAAAAAAACCCTTCCAAAAAAACAAAACAAAAATGCAGTAAAGGAGTAAAGATGGTTTGTATTTTTTAGCCCAAAAGAACATGACAATAATAAAAACCGGAACTAAATCACATATATAAATTTAACAAGAATTCAATTTTCTAAACATTCCGCATGCCACCTATATTTATCAATAGAGGTTTGTTATTATAGCGATACGCGCATATCGTGGAAATATTATGAGAGGATGGGGAAGCGTGTGTGTGTTTTTGTTATAGGGGTGAGAAGACATAAGCCCCTGAACACTGGCTTACTGATGGGGGGGGGGGTATTTCTTATTCGATACCACTGATTTACAAATATTGCTGAAATGACATGATTTTCCCGTATTTTTTCTCAATTTTTTTTAGTCATATACCTTTTTATGAGTTTGTTGGAAAATTAGAAATTCCCTAATTTACAGTCGGGCGAAAAAATATGCTTATTTAGAAGCCTTAACGTCAGGGCCTGAAGAAACGGCCGGGCTCGGGGGCTAGAGCCCCCCTCACTTTTTGAAAAAGTATGTTACAGAGAAAAAGAAAGAAAGAGAGAGAGAAAAAAATTAGAGACCTGCCAATGTCACAAAAGAGGTATCAAAATATGCTCATCTGACCGTAATTAAATGCCTGAAACCCTAGAGCTTACGGGGGCTCCGCCCCGGACCCAACCAAGAGCCCTAAGACAGTCCCCTGGATGCCCATATGACCGTAATTAAATACCTAAAAAAAACCGAGCTTCCGGGGACTCTGCCCCCTGGACCCAACCAAGTGCCCTAAGACGGCCCCTGGATGCTCATCTGACCGTAATTAAATACCTAAAAAACTCTGAGCTTCCGGGGGCTCTGTCCCCTGGACCCCATCAAAGGGCCCTAAGGCGGGCCCCTGAATGCTCATCTGACCGTAATTAAGTACCTAAAACCCTTAGCTTCCGGACCACATCGATTGCCTTAAATAGCGCCCCTGGATGCTTATCTGACCGTAAATAAATACCTAAAACCCCTGAGCTTCCGGGGGCTCTGCCCCCCGGACTCTCCGCCAATTAGTGACCTAACAGTGTCACAAATAAGGTATATAAATATGCTTATCTGACCGTAATTTAATGCTTTGACCCCCTGCCGGTGCTTCCAAACGTTTTTGCTCATTACGCCACTGCCCCTGGAAGGTGAGCCCCCTGGAACGTTTGCCACCCCCTCCCCCCAATTCCAAACTGCTTCCGGCGCGCCTGACGGGTGGCATCAAATTTTGATCTAGACATTTCAGTCGTTTTCTTCTTGACATATTACAAACGTGATAGTATTTGAAGAGCTAATTTTTTCAGGGGACATTTAGTTGCCTATGATACTCTTCACTTCTAATAATATACGTGTGTCTTTTTAATATTTAGAAATAAATCCCACAACTCAACCTTTTCTTTAAATGTCTTACTTGGACGGAACATGTGTCATGTAATATTTGTAGACGGTACCACCGGCTTCTACATGTCTTCTCATTACAGAGTCGGATGGGGAGGCGAAGTCTGAATCGGTCCCGAAGTTCACCCACGATTGAAAGTAATCACTTTCCGGATCATCGGCCATCGTCCAGTCGATGTATTCTTTCAACACAGCGTCGTAGACGATCTCATCGTCCTTACCGTAATTAGTCAAGATCTGTCTGACCACTCCCTCGAAGTAAGTGCGAGTGACTGGTGGTGGAGTCGGGCTCCCGACGTAGGCTGGAAGGAAAAAGAACGGGTTCAGGGTTCCTTCGTCCTTGTTGAATCCGATAAGGATGGGTACGTTAGCAAAGTCTCCCATCTTATAGACATTGGTTGGGCTGTCGTCTAAAAAGAAACCGTCCAAGGTCACCGGATACTGCAATTCATAAACCTATAAAGACAGAAACAGTTTCAGTCATAAAAAATGTGTCTCCTAAAAACCTCCGGTACAAAGGTCTCCAATCAAAGATTGTCACGATTCCTCTGGAAATTTGCCGTCCAAGGTCACCCGATATTCTAAGGTATAAACCTATAAAAGCACATTTTCGAGATAAGAAAAGAGAAATGCGTCCTGTTACATCTTTAAAATGATAAGCAGACAATGAAACAGGAAGAAACACATTTCCTTGATAAAATATTAAGGTTAAAGCCAAGGTCATCGAGATTTAGAATTAAAAATATATTTCGATTTTTTGTTGTTGTAATTGTTAATTGACGCCATATACAGATCTATCGTGCTGGGTGACAGTCTCATCTCAATATTAAAATACCAACGCTTAACAAATTCTTCCTAGTTCTTAGAAGGATTGTCTTAACAAAATATATTGTTCTACAAAGCAATGCTGTACCAGTGACAGATATTTTAAACATTATACCAAGGAAATTACCAATTGAGAATGTCAAAATTAGATTGCTAAAATTTTCAATCATCAAATAACATTTTTAAGTTGTGAAATCATTAAAATGTGAAAATACTTTATCGGCTGCAGTGCTCAGTTCCACGGCGTCTGCATTCCGAAGGCAGGAAACCAAAGCAGAGGAAGAGACCGTATCTTCACAACCCATCTCTCGTCCAAGTTCTTGAGCTTTCTCGAGCTCTGCGACTGGATCATCTTTGAAAGCCCATGGACTGAACACTGTTCCACTCTGTAGGGATTTTATAGTCAGAATGTTTTGATGTTTACAAAAACTAATCAGGGTCGTTGATGGGTAAAATATTATTACTTTATTTATGATCTATCGTGCTCCTGTATTACCATGTGGCTGAGGAGTATAATTAATTCAATGATCGGTTTACTTTTCCTGAATCATAAAATATATATTTTACTCTAGTTGGAAAAAACACAGAAAGGTTAAATAAGCCTGACATGATCACGAACTTAACGGGAGATTGAAAAAATAACCGCATACATATCTACGCACCGGTGCAACAACATAACTTTTAAAAAAATCCTATTTTAATCATAAATCACGAATGGCATAATAATCTACAAACCTGATATATTGCTTGATTGAAAAATTGTCTGCTGAGTTTGGAGACAAGATGGAAACTAACGCTTGCTGATCCTGCACTTTCTCCAAAGATGGTGATTCTGTTTTTATCACCACCGAATGCTGGAAAATATTGGGGGAAAAATATGGCGGATCAAATTCACGTAAAGACTCACATTCGATGTTGAGTTTAACGCTTTCAAAATTACTAGTTAAGAACTATACCATTGACGTTAATTCGAGAACGGTAAGATTGTTATGTCAAGTAGTGAACCTCCCATGTTAAGTTAAGGCCTTTAAGATTAAGTTCTGTATCTCTGATATCAAGCTGATGACATTACGATTGTTAAGTACTGTACCTTCGATGTTGTTGTACACCCATTCCAAAGCAGCAACTTGATCCAACATGCCATAGTTCCCGGGAGATTCTTCATCCTCTTTGTGAAAAGAAATTTGCAAACATAAACAAATATCAAAGAAATTGAAATGTTTACCTCAATTAATATAATAATGTATATTGATACTTGTTCATTAGATTCTTAAGAATCAAATGGCTTTTAAGAGGCGAACGGAGCTTTGGGAAATGTCACATCATTTCGGCGGATCCAAATAAAACCCATTCTGGCAAACCTTATACATTGGAAATTACCCCCCAAAAATGTGCCCTAATTCTAGTCTGTAGGAGACACCTCTCTGAAAGAAAATATATAATATATCCTAAAACGGGAATAAAGTTATACTGTAGGTTAATATAAGTGAAACTGTGTTAAAGGGATTGTTGAGTTCTGCTGCAGAGGGCGCTACACAAAATAATTTTTTGTGAGACAATGAAAAACTGAGTGTCAAGTTTGAAAGAACATACAATTTAAATGAAAAAATCATCTTTGTTTGATCGAAATCGGTTTAGAGACGGCTGAAATATCCATAAATATAACGATTTCTAATACATGTGTTAACAGCGCTCAAAATACACGAGGGCGGTGGGCGATTCGCCCCCGTGAGCTCCATAATCGCCCCCGTCAGGTTGCTCACGGGGGCGATTGCAAAATTAAAAATCGCCCCCGTGGTATAAAGATTATCTTTTCTGATATAACTTTAACACAATATTGAGTATCAATTTTCAAACCTTAAACCAATGAAATGGAACTTAAATGGCACTTTCTCTCCCATCGCTATGAGTAATTACCGATACATTAACAACGGAAGCTGGCAGTGCAGCTAGTGCGGCCGTCAGTAGTGGCTATACTTCGCCGGTATAGTGCCGGTGTAACGCCGCTGACGCCCAATATCTGCTGGAGCTGGAGACGATCGCGCAAGGACATGGAGAAGTTTTTCGTTGTGAAAAGTGTGAATTCTCTGAAATCTGGTTATTCTAAAAGACCAGCAAATATTGTAACTCGACCAGTAAATCAATATTGAGAAGAAGATCACCAAAGATGTTGCACGGGGGGGGGGGGGAATAGGCGGTTTAGGGGGTTTAACCCCCCCCCCCCTTGGGCTGCCAAGTGAAAATGTGATGTGCATAGAAAATGCTATCATGTGTCCAGACCTACACAGTAATAGAAGATGTCAGTAGATGCCAGGAAAACATCACTAACGGGGGTTCAAAATAGCACCAAAAAAATCGCCTCGCCGCTTCGCGGCTCGTGGACAATGTAAACATCACTTACGGGGGTTCAAAATAGCAACAACAAAAATCGCCTCGCCGCTACGCGGCTCGTGGACAATGCTCCACATCGCATTCGGGTTACCCCCTCCCACCCTTAGCAAAAAGCTAGATCCGCCCCTGTGTTTTGGAAGGATATGGTAAAGCTTAAAGTAAAGAAAGAATGTAATTAAGGTTGCTCCGAATAATGAGGAGGACATTATGTGCAGAACGGGAAGAAATGGAGAGAATGTCATCACGGGGATAAAATTCAATAACAGCTATGTAACAAATACATTTCTAAGAGGGAAATTGCCGACTTAAATAAATGATAATGATAAAATACCAAGGAATTTAGGAGTTTCATGGGTATCAATTCAATGGAAATTTGTATTAAAATAAGAGCCCCCGTCAGCACTAAAAGAGCCCCCGTGAGAAGGCTCACGGGGACTCTTCTTTTTTTTGAAAGAGCCCCCGTGGACAAAAAATTAATTTGAGCCCTGCTTGTGTATACCACCACATGAATTAGATAATTTGAAAAAGCCATTGAAAAAACGAAATAGCGTCTTTTACGTCGTATTACAGCCAATGCCGATGTTGGCTTTTTTTTGTTGCATTTTCGTGTTGGTTGTATTACACACAACCAGCCGGCCCATGTATTGTTATTTTTAATTAAATAATTAATTAACGGTCACCGTATTTTTTGAAAGTGGAGCTGAATTGGTATGATCGTATTGACTAAATTTCACACATTTTGGCGTCTAAAGCAATTCATAGTAAATTCAAAGCAATTTTAGGTTCTAAAAAGGCACTAGAAATGTCATAGATAAGAATAAGAGCAATAACCATGCACTTTGAAGGCACTTGCGGTCTCAAAACAGAACTCAACTATCCCTTTAAGTTCAAATTACAACATGAAGATATCGCTACAAACAATACTATTCTCGAAAATAATATCGCTTGTGACATTCGTTTGTCTCGCAATACAGCCTCGGTCACAAATACCCTTACGGGCTGCTACGAACACCGTACGAACGATTTTCAGACCATTTCGTAAGATCTTCTTAAGAAGGCCGTACGAAACCAGCGTTCGTAGACCATTCGTAGACCGTTCGTAGACCGTTCGTAAGATCGCAGATTGGTCGATGGTCTTATACAAGATTTGTTTTAACATCGTACGAAACCCTCTCTTTGTAAGGCGGCCGTACGAACGCCGTAATTACACCGTAAGAACCACGCAAGATTTTCTTACATTTCGTAGGGTCGAGGGACAATTCTAGAAGCTTCAAATTATTACGATGACCGTAAGAACGCCTCAAGTTGTTCATAGAGGGCCCTTACGGCATTCGTAAGAACGCCTAACGAGCGGATATTCTTATGGCCTTCGTACGAACGACCCCTGGCGTTCGTAAGGCGTTCGTAAGATGCTCGTAAGGTGTACGTACACAATTTATGCAAATTTTGAGTTTAAGCGGTTATAAAGCCAAGCGCGCGAAGTTCAAATCTTCACTCTGTTCATAGTCAAAGGCGACGGAAGTGGGGGGGGGGAGGCGGGGGCAGGGAGGGGCACTCGCCTCTAACCAAGAAACGCCTTCCCCCCCCCCCCCAAAAAAAAAGCCCCACCATCCTCCCCCTCCCCCTCCCCCTCCCCCTCTCCCTCCCCCTCCCCCCCAAAAGAAAAGCAGTAAAGGAGTAAAAATGGTATGTAGTTTTAACCCAAAAGAACACAACAATAATAAAAACCTGAAATAAATCACATATAAAATTCCTTTCAAAGAAAAGGAAAGTTAAAAGGAATTTAAATTCTTAAAAATTCCGCATGCCACCTATATTTGTTAATGGAGGTTTTTATAATAGCGATACGAGCATATCGTCGAAACATGTGAGAGGATGGGAAAGCATTTGTGTTTTTTGTTATAGGGGTGAGAAGACATGAGCTCCTGAACGCTGGCGTACTGAGAGGGGGGTGGGTGTTATTTCTTATTCGATACCAGTGATTTACAATTGTTACTGAAATGACATGATTTTCTGGTATTTTTTTCTCAATATTTTTGTAAGTCATACCTTTTTATGCGTTTGTTGGAAATTCCCAAATTTACAGACGGGCGAAAAATATGCTTATTTAAAGTCTTTATGTCAGGGCCTGCAGAACAGCTGTGCTCGTGAGCTCGAGCCCCCCCCCCCTCACTTTTTGAAAAAGTATGTTACAGAGAAAAAGAAAGAAATGAGGTATCAAAATATACTGATCTGACCGTAACTAAAATGCCTAATACAAAACAGAGAGCTTATAGGGGCTCCGCCCTCGGGCCCCACTAGGAGCCCTAAGGCGGTCCCCTGGATGCTCATCTGACCGTAATTAAATACCTAAAACCCCTGAGCTTCCGGGGGCTCTGCCCCCTGGACCCCACCAAGGGCCCTCAGGCTGGCCCCTGGATGCTCATCTGACCGTATAGTTAAATATCTAAAAACCTCTGAGCTTCCAGGGGCTCTGCCCCCTGGACTCCCCTCCAATTAGTGACATGCCAGTGTCACAAATAAGCTCATCTAAAGCTTATTTAAATATGCTTATCTGACAGTAATGTAATGCCTAAAAACCATGAGCTTCAGGGGGCTCAGCCCCTTGACTCCTTGCTGGGGCTCAGGCCCTGGACCGTGTAAGAGTGGTGGTGATAGAATTTTTGACAGTATACGGCAGCGCCTTTTTTGCAACCCGGCCAAATATTTTTAAAAAATCGTAAGATCTTCTTACGAATGACTTGTGAATGTCATGAGTTACACGTAAGACCACCTTGGGAGAACAAAGACTCGTAAGATTGGCGAAAGTCTGACGTAAGAAGAACTCAAGGCGTTCTTCCGAAAAACCTACGAATTCTAGGGCCATTGTATAACCGAAAATCACTTCGTTTCTCAAGAAGGTCTTGAGTTGTTCTTGCGAATTAAACGGCGTTCGTACGAACTCCGTAAGAAAGACGTAAGAAACTATGCCCCCATCTACGAATCTCTACGAACTCTGAAATTCGTAGGAACAGGGAGATTCGTACGAACAAATCGTTCCTACGAACATTTGTGACCGTAGCTCCAACAAGGGATCAAGAGATCACGACATTTCGTGCGCCGCTGCAACACTTCGTCAGGTGATATTTCAATACTATATATCCGCAATGAGTAATATATTTAGCATTAATACTATTCTCTTTACTTTCCATAGCAATTCCGAAAAGGCAACAGGAGGGTCTTTTTTGTATCGTTTGTTTTTAATTTTTCCAGAAAAGATGAAGTGACAAAATGACGTTAAAATTCTGTAGAATTGGGACGTAAAACACAGTTAGTGAGAGTGAAATGATTTCTTTGTTAAATAGAAAGTTCATTTTTCAGAGAAGAGATGACGTCGTTCAGCCTATTTTACCCATGGACAGGACCCGCTCTCAGACTCCTCAAGTTCACCCTCACACGTTACGCGTGTCCATGCTATTAAACCAGTAGCCCCTCCCCCCCCCCCCCCTCTACGACTCAACTACCTCTGCTCTGTTTATCTAAACATGTTTTAAAAGATATATGATTTTGTTGTTATATGACTTCATGTATACCTACCGGTTGAAAACTGAGCGAAAATCGCTAGGCGGTAGTTGATGGTTACTACTATGACATCACCAACAGCAACCAATGGAACTCCGTAGTAATCATATGCCATAGCCGAACCAATTGAAAACCCTCCTCCATGTATCCATACCATGACAGGTATCCCTGATGGCTAAAATGAAGAAAAAATAGAAATGAATCGAAAATCCATGAAAATGACTGACCTATAGTTTCATTCCATGACCTAAAGAAATTACACAACATTGCTTGATATATCGGAAACAGAAAGCCAAACTATGAGTGTTCTTGAATCTAGTATTTCAACGTTATCATGATTATGCGATCGGCTTCGACACAATCTATCGTCAATCAATCAGGATTGCATTTGAATATGCCCGTAGTATATTTTTACCTACTTGTTTTCATTCTTTATATTTTAGTTCTTTTGTTAGAATTGGCCTAGTGCTATCTCAAATGCTTGGGTTGCTTTAACTTTAAGGTACTAAGATTTAAACCCGACCACTGGTTAAATTTCGGTCTCAAGTCGGGTTTACCAAAGAGAGCGAGACCAAGATCTATCCACCGTTCAACATGATGTCAGTCCTCGGTTGAACTGAAGTTGTAGGATACGAGTTTATTGGATCTTTAACTAGAGATTATCGTCATTTTTATTACATGTAAATATTATCCTATAATATTCAGATATTATTTTCTTTATGTAGACAAAAGACTAAATCACATTGCCAAATTTTGCAAACCGACCGATTATTCGTCATTCTGGATGATTTCTTTTCTTCTAATTGATGTTTTTGGGTTGCATTTACATGATTGATATAGAAGCATGTGTGTGCTTGTAACTAGGCAACCAGGGGACCGGCGGCTGTATAAAGTCCTTTTCGAGGGCCAATCGTGCTATGAACCTACCTTTGGACTGGGTGTGTAGACATTCAAGTACAGGCAATCTTCAGATATAACGGGGTAGTACAAAGGTTGAGGAACTTGTTGACAGGCTGGTGAAAACTCCGTGGCATTCCGATCACCTTCCCAAGGCGTCATAGGCTCTGGAGGAGCGAACCGCGTCGGCGGATTAGCGAATGGAACGCCCTGTATCAATAGGACAGCATTACAGATGTGGGTGTATATTGACAAACACGCAGATTAAATCTTGATTTAGAGTATACTCTGGTTTAATCATGTTACATAACGTTATTTGTGATATTGTTTTGGACACTCATATTAAATTTAAATAGTCATTCTTTAATTTTGCATATTTTGTTAATGTGCAATTCAACCTTAAAAACAACTTCAACTGATTAATTGATTAGAAATCGAAATAATAACTGTTTTGTTAATACTTTTCGCCATTTCGCCTTCCCGACCTAAACAAGGCGGCTTGACGAGTTTAAGAAGTCTCCTTCTTGCCTTCCCGACTTAAACAAGGCGGCTTGGCGAGTTTAAGAAATCACCATTTCGCCTTCCCGACCTAAACAAGGCGGCTTGGCGAGTTTAACAAGTCTTCTTCTTGTCTTCCCGACCGAAACAAGGCGGCTTGGCGAGTTTAAGAAGTCTTCTTCTTGCTTTCCCGACCTAAACAAGGCGGCTTGGCGAGTTTAAGAAGTCTTCTTCTTGTCTTCCCGACCGAAACAAGGCGGCTTGACGAGTTTAAGAAGTCTCCTTCTTGCCTTCTTGACCTAAACAAGGCGGCTTGGCGAGTTTAAGAAGTCTTCTTCTTGCCTTCCCGACTTAAACAAGGCGGCTTGGTGAGTTTAAGAAATCTTCTTCTTGCCTTCCCGACCTAAACAATTAAGGCGGCTTGGCGAGTTTAACAAGTCTTCTTCTTGCCTTCCCGACCTAAACAAGGCGGCTTGGCGAGTTTAAAAAGTCACCATTTCGCCTTCCCGACCTAAACAAGGCGGCTTGGCGAGTTTAACAAGTTTTCTTCTTGCCTTCCCGACCTAAACAAGGCGGCTTGGCGAGTTTAACAAGTCACCATTTCGCCTTCCCGACCTAAACAAGGCGCCATGGTTAAGCAAAGATTGCGAGAAGGCGAGTTCATAAAACTCGCCAAGGCGCCTTGTTTTCGAACGAGAAGGCGCATTGGAGAGTTTTAACAAGTCGCCTTCCCGACCTAAACAAGGCGGCTTGGCGAGTTTAAGAAGTCTTCTTCTTGTCTTCCCGACCGAAACAAGGCGGCTTGGCGAGTTTAACAAGTCTTCTTCTTGTCTTCCCGACCGAAACAAGGCGGCTTGGCGAGTTTAAGAAGTCTTCTTCTTGCTTTCCCGACCTAAACAAGGCGGCTTGGCGAGTTTAAGAAGTCTTCTTCTTGTCTTCCCGACCGAAACAAGGCGGCTTGACGAGTTTAAGAAGTCTCCTTCTTGCCTTCTTGACCTAAACAAGGCGGCTTGGCGAGTTTAAGAAGTCTTCTTCTTGCCTTCCCGACTTAAACAAGGCGGCTTGGTGAGTTTAAGAAATCTTCTTCTTGCCTTCCCGACCTAAACAATTAAGGCGGCTTGGCGAGTTTAACAAGTCTTCTTCTTGCCTTCCCGACCTAAACAAGGCGGCTTGGCGAGTTTAAAAAGTCACCATTTCGCCTTCCCGACCTAAACAAGGCGGCTTGGCGAGTTTAACAAGTTTTCTTCTTGCCTTCCCGACCTAAACAAGGCGGCTTGGCGAGTTTAACAAGTCACCATTTCGCCTTCCCGACCTAAACAAGGCGCCATGGTTAAGCAAAGATTGCGAGAAGGCGAGTTCATAAAACTCGCCAAGGCGCCTTGTTTTCGAACGAGAAGGCGCATTGGAGAGTTTTAACAAGTCGCCTTCCCGACCTAAACAAGGCGGCTTGGCGAGTTTAAGAAGTCTTCTTCTTGTCTTCCCGACCGAAACAAGGCGGCTTGGCGAGTTTAAGAAGTCTTCTTCTTGCCTTCCCGACCTAAACAAGGCGGCTTGACGAGTTTAAGAAGTCTCCTTCTTGCCTTCTTGACCTAAACAAGGCGGCTTGGCGAGTTTAAGAAGTCTTCTTCTTGCCTTCCTGACCGAAACAAGGCGGCTTGACGAGTTTAAGAAGTCTCCTTCTTGCCTTCTTGACCTAAACAAGGCGGCTTGACGAGTTTAAGAAGTCTTCTTCTTGCCTTCCCGACTTAAACAAGGCGGCTTGGCGAGTTTAAGAAATCTTCTTCTTGCCTTCCCGACCTAAACAAGGCGGCTTGGCGAGTTTAACAAGTCTTCTCCTTGCCTTCCCGACCTAAACAAGGCGGCTTGGCGAGTTTAAGAAGGATTCTTCTCACCTTCCCAACCTAAACAAGGCGGCTTGACGAGTTTAAAAAGTCTCCTTCTTGCCTTCTTGACCTAAACAAGGCGGCTTGACGAGTTTAAGAAGTCTTCTTTTTGCCTTCCCGACCTAAACAAGGCGGCTTGGCGAGTTTAAGAAATCTTCTTCTTGCCTTCCCGACCTAAACAAGGCGGCTTGGCGAGTTTAACAAGTCTTCTCCTTGCCTTCCCGACCTAAACAAGGCGGCTTGGCGAGTTTAACAAGTCACCATTTCGCCTTCCCGACCTAAACAAGGCGGCTTGGCGAGTTTAAGAAGTCTTCTTCTTGCCTTCTTGACCTAAACAAATCGTCTTAGCGAGCCTTTTAACAAGTCGCCTTCTTACATTCCTTCTAGCCTTCTTGCTTTCTCATCTTAACCATGGCCCATATCCGAGTAAACAAGTCTCCTTCTTGATGCACGTTTTAGCCTCTGTAGTTAGTATGCTTCAATGTTCACCTATTTGAGAAACCTGTAACTTCAGCAATTTCTAAGTTGATAGGAGCCTTAGAACTTAGACGTTAATGCTGCATTCGATTTTAAATGTACTGGCTAAGCAATCGATCATTCTTGATCTGTAGTTTGATATAACAAATAATAGCCGAATATATATCGAGCACATAGTATATACGAGGGCAAATCAAAAGTATTTGGTCATTTTGGTGTCCCATATACGTGACCACAGGGGGGTACGCAGGATTTTTTTCGAGGGGATGATTTTAAAATTTGAGCACATTTTTGTTTTATCCCGAAAATTTGGTCGACCGACATTTCGTTCAATTGAGGGGGATTCGACCCCCCCCCCCCCCCCCCCTGCGTGACCAAGTATCATTGGGTTCCGAATATAAAGTGACATCAAATCTCTCATTTTAGTTCATATTTGGTGTGATCCGTTAATACCCCTTCACATACCCCCTTCAAAAATCTTCTAACGATTGTCTACGGATTTTTTTTTTCTTCAGTAAAAAGCACGTTAATAGCTTGTAACAATCCGTAAGTATCGTAAACCGCTCGCAACAAAACGTAACCATCCGTAAATTACTCTTGACAAAAAAAAAACGATATATTTTTTTTTTTTTTTTTTTTTTTTTTAACGAATTATTGACGGATTATTACGAGTGCTTAAGTGTTTTTTACGATTTCATTCTGGCCGTGTTACGATGGCTTTATGGATTGTTACACGTTATTACGAGCACTTTACGAGTAGTTATACGAGTACTTTACGAATATATACGTATTCTTTATGTATTCTTACGTATTTTCAACGATTTGTGAAAAGGTATAAAAGCTTCAAATTCGAACATTTGTTTTTCTGTTGTAATTTGTTGGCTAAAAATCGTAAGGACTCTTAAATACTCATAACTAACTCGTAACTATTCGTAACAGCACGTAAACAGGTCTTTACTAACACGATAGTTACTAGTAGTTATCCGTGACAACTTGTAACAAATCGTGGAATTCTGCCGTAAATACATCGTAATAATCTGTAATAAACCGTGAAAAGCTCGTAAAAACTCGTAACAACTCTTAAATCGATCATAAGAGTGATCAAGTCGTAAGGATCCGTGAAATATCCGTAAATTTGTGCGATCCGTAAGGACTCGTAAGAAAAATCCGTGTATATGAAGGGGGTAAAGCTAATTGAATTAATACCATTATGAAATATATACTGAATTTTATAGATGTGCTTGGTAACGTATGATACAAATACCTTGGACTTGCCCAAGACCATTACCCTCCATTAACTACACCTAGTTGGAGTGTGGCAAATCAGCTTTAGTGTCTTACTATAAAAGCATAGTAGTGCCGGTATCATACATGTCTTCAATTCACATTCTTTCTAACACAGTAAATCGTTCAGTAGAACATTTGATGTATCAAATACAAATATTGTATATTTAAAAAGTAAACTTTCATTATGAAATTCTCATGTATGTCTTCAGTGATTACAAATATCGGACTACCGTTTAACATGTTCAATAAGGATCTGGTCCTCAATATTTTCGTTTACCCCGATCTCATGAAATGTGGTATTAACGAACCAATTTATAATTTGTAAAAACACATCTTTGTGATGACTTACCAGAAACATATCGACATTTTTGGTCACGTTTATAAACTGGTTCTCACTAAACTGGACGGTCTTTCCCACGAGATTTCCTTCAGTGACATTTACGCGAGGGTTTTGTCCAGATACGACAACGATCGTAGAGACGAAAATTGCCAAGAAGATAGAAAGCAGCTTCATCTTTCTTGAAACAAAAGTCGAACGCTTCCTAAAGATATTTTCAGTGCCTTCGGTGTGAATAACGTTCGATGGGTATGTTTTCAAGTCCCAGTGTTTTAATCGAGCATCCTTATGTCACTTTACTGGTTAATGGTGGCTATTCATTGAAAAAAGACAAACATTTGGATCCGTATTCTACCCAAGGTTGAAACCGATGCTGGATTAAAGTTCGGTCTGATGACGAGTTTAATAAATACTGAAAGAAGTCTAAATCTTAAACAATTTTAACCCCTGGCGTTGTGTTGAACTAGATTAGTATCCGATTTGTAAATGTTATAGAAATGCGTCGTCATGCAGAGTGCTCATGTTTAAGAACAGCGGCGAATGCTTTTCTTCAGCTGATATTTGATCATGGTTTGCTTGCTTTGCCAATTATGTAATCACTGGTGTTTGTTGTTTGCCGAGTTGCCCAAGTGTTTTGTTTGCAATCCCCAGTCGGCCATACTTATTGTGTATTTTTCTGTTTTTATTTTAGTTTTTGTCCCCCCCCCCCCCCCATTCCCTTACCCTCCCTCTTTCTCTCTCTCTCCCTCTCTCTCTCTCTTTCTCTTTCTCTCTCTCTCTCTCTTCTTTGTATCGTTATATATTCCCTTGCTCTTCCCCCTCTGCCCCCATCTCTCTCTCTTTCTCTCTCTCTCTCTCTTACAATACCTTAAAAATAAATATATCTATAGATGTGTCCCTGATATCAGTAAAAATCAATAAAGATCGTAGCATGTTTACTTTAAAAAAAGCTAAAATGTTTGTTAGTAATTGCTCAACAAGAGATATTTCATTATATATTGAGCAGGCGTTTCTTGATGGCTAATATCCGCGGTATCTCAAAGTGGAAGGGCCATTCCTTACACACCAGCTTGACTTGATTAACCGCCCATTCTAAAATACACCATTTTAGGTAGCGTCGTCTTGGAGGCCTCAGTTTGAATAGAATGTTCACTTAGTCCATGAAGTATCATGATTGATTTGTGCAAAGGAGTCAGAAACTTATCATTGAGAGTGACATAGATAAGTCAACTATCTCAAGGTAATAAATAACCATTTATAATGATACATATTGCACTGACTTTTAAAAAATATGAAAACATTATAGATTTGCTCATTATATTTGGAACAATAAGGGCTGACGATAAGATCTTAATAGTTCATTGACGATGACCGATACAGATGAATATGTAAAGGGCGAACAAAATGCAAATTGTAACTCTGCAGAATTTATTTCACGTCTGGTTGAAAAAAGATACATTATACTCAAACAGCTATTTTTCATCGGCATGATTTCTGAGTATGTTAATCACCGTCGTAACGCTGGGAAATCATGTCTATCTACTGCCTCGGCGCTTGAAGTCACTTTGTGATTGTTAATTCCTTGACAATTTTATTTAGAAAAAATATAAAGGTATGTAAATATTTGTAATTTTTAAAATGCATCACTTTACATTAACAATATTTTTTCAATATATGAGTAATTATTATGAATCATTATTGATTACACAAGATAAAAACTCGCACTTGAGAATAATAATAATAATATTGATAATAATAATAATAATAATAATAATAATAATAATAATAATAATAATAATAATAATAATAATAATAATAATAATAATAATAATAATAATAATTATAATAATAATGATAATAATAATAATGATAATAATAATAATAATTAATAATAATAATAATACATTATATTTGTAATGCGCTTAAATACCAATGTTTCTAAATTTATTAAAGAATAATACAAAATCGAATCCAACAAAATATTTATTATCATCGATGTCTGCATAATTTGCGATAAAATATTATGATTCCTGCTTTTTTAAAGTTAGCCATTTATACTGATCCGATATCCATAACTTCTTATGTGAATTTAAACTATGTATTTAGCATTTCCACGCTGAACACACTAGAATCACTAAAACAGCGGGTATACGAAAACAATATTTACGGCATCAAATGGATTTATAGAATATTAACGCATGTTCGTGATTATGTTTGTTTATTTTTTTTAACAGTTTTAAACTGTTTATGATGTATCAATATCCTTCATCAGGACGTAAATATGTGATTAAAAGAAATATTCTACACCGAAATATTAACAGATTGTATATTTTTGAATTGTAAAGGAGCAGACAGCTTTGGTGAATGCTATTATCTATCTACTAATCTAGTTGCATGTTGGTAGCTGCTGGTAGTCTTCAAAGGCCTTCTGCCAGTCGGTCATTTCATCCTTCCAGTCGTCGTAGCTTTCTCGCCATTCTTGTTCATCTTCGTCAATCGTTTCTAAAGATATAGAACAAGGACAAATTTTAAGTTATAATAGCATATGATATATATATATCTACTTATCAAGATATGTGGAATGTCACAGCAGCGTTTAATCTTTAGTATGTAATTCGTGTTAGCAGACCACTCAATAAAAACCAATGTTAATATTTAGAATATTAAATGCAGGGCAGAAAGCAATTCAATAATTGCTGCCAAGGTGACAGGTGTTTCACAGTTCTTCTTCGGTATATTTGTTAGTACTTACAGAGTTTTGTTTCTCTCTTCTCATTCCATTTACTGTAAATATCCTCAAACAGACTGACACTAGCTGGCTACAGGCATTCCTAATGTTGAGCTGAGACCTATAGGTAGTGCCATCGACTAATAAAACCATGAACGAATTTTGAAATGTTGGGGTGAGAGGAGCACTGACATAAATGGCGATTTATAAATTGTCAGCAGCAAAGTGTCGGAATATATTTCATGATGCCCAATCAATTCAAGCCTTCTTACTTGCAAATGCCTCCAGGTCGGGTATGTATTCGTTCCAGAAACGGCACTGCCTTGCCAGCACAGCTCTGCCTTCACCCAAGTCTAGGGAAAGTTCCTTGTGTTTGAGCTCAGGGATTGTGTACAAAGGCCAAGAATCCTCTCCTACTCCTGCTTCTCCATCAACACTAGACTTGCTGGGGTCACTAAGGATAAACAAAAGGAAATACAATACCAGGCCTTCTTTTCCTGACTATTATAAAAATTCAATTCCACAAATAATGGCTATATTATCTTTATTTTTTGTATTATAACTGATAGGGGATGTGCAGGTGGACCACTACACCAGAGTTTCCCCTAGTCTCATACCAACAATGCAGTGGGTTCTTGGTATGCTTAACGTACAAACTTGGTTACCCTCCTCTACAGAATTATGTATATGAGGCCTCCATTTAACGTCCTGTCCAAAGAACGGGCGTTTTCCACTAATTGCCAGATTGCGTCTATGAGTCAAGGGATGGTCACCTTAACACATAACGCAAACCCCATGTATCTGTCGGAGTCGGATTCGAATCCACGATCTTTGGTTCGACAGGCAAATGCTTCACCGCCTCCTTTCAACTATACACTTAATAAACGTTTTCCGAAAAATATCGCATTCTGGTGCAAGCTTGTCATGGAGACGATCTTGGAGGTCAAATAGATGTCCTCTGTTAACGAGAGAGGTTTTTGCATCAGTAGACACTCGTGAGCTATGAACCAAAGTGCTCTATATTGTGGCCCAAGTTTATACAATTTAGAGCACCTACCAACATGGAGGTTCTTTCATGTACATTTTCTTAAATGATCACTGATCTGCTTGTCCCATTTTTCTCGTCTATATACATCCAACCCTAAAGCAAAATGGATTTCCTCCTTTAGAATATTTTGAACATACAAGACTTTACGGTGGGTTTACTTTAGCTCCGTTTAGATGGAATGATTATTCTAAACTTACCCTGACTTGGCAAAGTTCGTCCAGAACTGCATGAATTTCACGGAGAGGGCGTTCTCCTCATCCGTCAAATTGTGTCCATGAATATGATAAATCTCATCAATAAACGGCTGACCCCAAACAAAAGTTAGATCCTCTGCGTGACCCGCTCCTAGCCATGGAGTGCTTGGAAACTGATATCCATAAGCGAAAACACTCCTGTAGATAAATGCATAACATAGTAATGAAACAAATATATTAAACAGAACAAAGAGGGGTATGCGGTCATTAGTATCAATGACACAAAAATGCCTACTTTCACGTCGAAGTGAATAAGCCCATTTGCTTGATATCGATGCACCCATGCGATGCTGAAGTGTTAATAGCCTATCATCGATAATATAGCTTTATGTCATCTTTCGTTTCGACGTTTGAGTAAAAACAAAAGAAGTCAAGGGAAGTACGCTAAAAATGTAATACAACTGCAAACGTTCCTAAACCATTTAAAGCTCATCTGTACTAGTTTATAGGAGAGATTAGACGACCCTGTAAGGTCACGGGACAGGTGGTTATCTCATCAACTCAGCTCTCAATTAACATAAGAAAAAGATGATCATGGGAGACCAATGGTCACCGATTAGGCATAGTTTTCTATATAGAGGGAGCAAGTAGCTACAAGTCGTACAGTGTGGCTTTAAGAGTTGTTATGAACAGGGGGATGAACTGGTTAAATACAGCCTGAAAGCTCCGTGTGATCGGGTCAGTCTTCATACAATGATCAGCCGTCTGGTTAAAGATTAAAGTTCTGGTTAATATGCGATTGTCTTTGAGAAAGAAACTGTCTAGAAGCAATTAGCAAACGTTCATTCGTGCACAAACAAACTTTTGTTTACCATGAGGTTTTGAACTCATCAAAGTTATAAGAAACTGACTCTTACATGCACTGCATACACAAATGTGCATATGACACAACAAAAACGGGTGGCATCAAAGTGTGATCTAGACATTTCAGTCGCTTTTTTCTTGACATATATTTAAAATATGATAGTATTTGAAGAGCTAACTTTTTCAGGGAACATTTGTTTATGATACTCTTCACTACTAATAAATACTTTTTTTTTTTTAGATAATAGGAAATAATCACAAACTACCTTCCCTAAACTAATGCTTCTCTTTAAATCGGACTGGTAATTGAGACACCAAAATCTGTAAATTACTATTCCATTTGTATGTTGACAAAATAGTTTTATAGTGATCCAGAAGCGCTTGGTAAAATATCTTACTTGGACGGAGCATGTGTCATGTAATATTTGTAGACGTTACCACCGGCTTCTACGTGTCTTCTCATTACAAAGTCGGATGGACAGGCGAAGTCTGAATCGGTCCCGAAGTTCACCCACGATTGGAAGTAATCACTTTCCGGATCATCGGCCATCGTCCAGTCGATGTATTCCTGCAACACAGCGTCGTAGACGATCTCATCGTCCTTACCGTAATTAGTCAAGATTTGTCTGACCACTCCCTCAAAGTAAGTGCGATTGACTGGTGGTGGAGTCGGGCTCCCGATGTAGGCTGGAAGGAAAAAGA